TCTCACTTTTGGTGCAGCAAAGAAGCAGCGGGGCGGCAGATGAGTGGTATACGGCGAGTTTAAGAAGCTGAAGAAGCGCTCGTGTGAGAAAGAGAGAAAGACAAGAAGCCTCGACAAGAACAACAACCTGGTTGGCGTCTCGAACGTAAGAGAGGCAGCAGCGGCAACGTGCAGACAGGAAACGTTACCTCGGACGACGGTCGTGACTGGCCAATCGGAAGCATCCAGTCGCTTACAACACCACATATCGTCGAGGAGAACCCGATGTGTATCGATAACGACGACAGGATGCGTTAACCGCGGAGGAGAGGCGAATCCTTGGACAACGATGCGAATCTTGTTTGTTTTTTCCGCGGACTTTCTTTCTCTTCCTATCTTAGTCCTGATTCTCGAGACAGCTCGGCTCGGCTCGCCCGAAAGATGGAGCGCAGTGAACCCCTGGCGACGCTGCGCGACGCAACACGACACGGCGCGGTGCGCCGGCGTCCGTGGTCGATAGACGCGTCGCGACGTACAGCAGGGTGGTTTTCCCCGGTTTCCACGCGCCGGCCAGTTTGCGGGGTAGACCAGAAGATGGTGTTGCTGAAAGCTTAGCGCGGGTGCGTCACGAGGACCTTGAGACGCTACATCGAGCACAATGTCGACGTGCCGTGTCGTGATGACGTCGGCGGGCTCGAAAAGGGCATCGATTTTTCCCGGGGTGCAAGTAGTTACCGACTGCCGGGCGCGCTCTGTTTCGCAGGGTCGAGCGGAAAATGGGAACAACGGAATCTTGATTATCCGAGCAATTTGGACACAGCGCGCCGGCCGATTAAATTTATTTCACGCCAGGAGAGCTTGAATTGATTGCAACAGGAAACCGTAGATGAACCTTCGATCGTTTTACACTGTAGGCTTACGGAAAAACACAAGTGGAGAAAATTAATTCTGACCGTTACCTCTACATTACTTAGACGTGCTCACTTGCGTTTTTCTTCGTCTTTTGTTCATATTATTCACAAGTTTGCCACATACAATTAGAAGAAAAAATTAATTTTTTAATATTAAAATGTGATATATGAGTTGAAAACATAAAAAAACAAAAAAATCGCCTTCGAAAATTTCTTGTCAAATACTTTTTAAATAAGATCAAATATTTTTTAATAAGATTTTCAGAACACGTTTGATACCTGTATTAATAGTTATTACATGAAACTTGCTTCAAAATACTTACGCCCGTATTAATAGTTGTTGATTGAAATTCATCTTAAGTGAGATACACAGATTTAAATTCAGAGTTGGATGAGAGCTTTTTAATTGAATCACGCGATTACAGATATAAATGTCTCACATATGTCATAATTCAACTCAAAAATTTGGATCTAATTCTGAATAAATACCTGAATATCTCACATGATACAAGTTTCAGGTGACAACTATTAAACGAGCCTCAGATTTGGATTCAGAGTTAGAGTTTTTCAGTTAAATTATGTGATGACAAATATAAATATCACATATATCATAATTCAATCGGACAAAACAAACTTGGATCTAACTCTGAATAAAAATCCGAGTATCTTCCACAAAACAAATTTCAGGTGATAACTATTAATACGGGTCTGCGAGACGTATGAGGTTACGCTAATCAGATAACTGTCAAGATTACTCGATGAAGAGAATACTAGCGTTCTACTTCTAATTCTGTTCTACTGCTCACTTCTAAAACCCAACACATTTTCACTGGTGAAGTGTGGCTCGGTTATATTCTCGCAAGAAACGTAACGAGCAACTCATCGGCTGGAGTAAGATCTAACGGAGGAATATATTTGCGTGAATTATTTGCGGTTTAGAGCGAACGTTGTCAGAGAGAAAGAGAGCGATGCGTGCGAAGGTAAGACTCTCGCAGTGGTCCGTTAAGATCACGGCTCAAGATTCGCGGAGCTGTTAAACTCGATCCGACCTTCCGGAAAGCTCGCGAGAGCGCATTGTAATCTCGAGGCAAACGCGGCAGTCTCGTAACTATCCCCGCGGGGATGTGCGCGAGATATCGGGGTTTCGATTAATCGATTTATGGATTCGACCTAGCGCCTCGCAGACGGATGCTCCCTCGCTCGCGATGCCGAGCGGAGCCGTCGATTTATGTGCATTTCTGTCGGATTCCCATCCCACGGCCGCGGGCGATAACGCAAGCGAAGCGTTACACGCTCCGGCCTTAACGTCCGTCTCCGTCGGCCTAATCTCGGAGAGCCAAGAGAGAAGAGCCCCGGCCGACGAAATCTAATCAGCCAACTTTTTCAATTCGCGAGACCGCTCGAGCGAGGCTGCGTATTATGGCGTGGAACGGAACAATACCGGTAATCCAATGCGGCCGGGACAACCCGCATAAAGCATCCTGTAAGATCAGCATTCCCGCTCGCCGCCGAAGGCTGCGAGTTGTAACGACTTAATAACGTATTCTCGCGCCTTGCAAATTACACACCGCTAATTTCGCGAAATTACATACGCAGCGATTCGAAACAATACCGATCTCAAAGCGGATATGACACT